TGTGTGAATTATTTATGCAAATATCAAGACAAATTGATGGTAGAAAACATCTTTTAGGGCTGGGTGTGGTGGCTTACGCCTATAATCCCAGCACTTTGGGAGGCAGAAGCGGGTGGATCACTAGGTCAGGAGTTTGAGACCAGTCTGACCAACGTGGTGAAACCCCATCTCTGGTGTGCACCTGTAATCCCAGCTACTCAGGAGGCTGAGGCAGGAGAATTGCTTGAACCCAGGAGGTGGAGGTTGCAGTGAGCTGAGATCATGCCACTGCACTCCAGCCTGGGCAACAGAGCGAGACTGTCACACATACACAAAAATGTCTTTAGTTATGTTGAGTTCATGCTTTTGACATACATGTGCATTGCCACTTATTTAGACTGAATCACAGTACTGTAATGACTGCTCTGAGTTTCTTCCCAGGTGACTCCAAACATAACTAGGGAGAAAAGGAAGCAGGCGGCCCAGCCTGCCTAGCACCGTGGTGCGGTTCCTGTCGGGCCACGTACTTAGCTCTGCCTCATCTGAGTCCCGGCTGTGCCTGCTTCACCCCACCCTCGAATATTTTCAGGGTGGTTTTTCTTTTTTCCTTCTCAAATGTAATTTGTGAAAAAGTAGGTTACAGAACTAAGAGCAAACAAACCCATGTGGCATCGCATTTTAAACATAAAGTCACACTTGCTCTATTTAAGATCAAACTTCTGCAGATCGAACAGAAAGGCCGTTTTCATCTTTCGTTTCAACATACACTTTCAGCAGCTTGCAGAATGGCAGCCAAGATGTGTGTTAATCCTTTCTGTGACTGCGGACTCTGCGGCGGCTGCTGTGAGGCCAGCATCTGAGTTCCACAAGCAGTGAGGGACAGGAATAACAAGGCCAGGTGTTCCCCGCCTGCCCTCGGAGTGAAAGGGCTGCTTCACTGAGCCTCTCCCCTGCACTGCGGGAAACCACGGGCAGGAGTGTGGAGCGTGCCCAGGGGCCCGGCCAGGCCAGAGCACCAGGCTCAGCGGTGTTGGCACCCACCCTCGCACACACCTTGGTTTTGGCAGCACGCTTCCCAGAGATCCACATTATATAAGGCTGTGGAAATAAAGTTCATGAAAGAGAACAGTATGAGAACAAAAATGTGAATGCATTTCCTCTAGCCCAAATCACCAAATGCTTTAATCCAAATTATTTTTAGATGTTTATTATTTTTTAAGTAGATCTGCCTTGCCAAGAATAGAGTGTCTGATTTTGTAAATAATTGGAGTGGGTTTTGTTGTTGTTTATTTTTCATCCCCAGTGAGGAATTGTTTGTGGGGTTTGAAATAGATGTGAAAATAACTCAGATTATATCTGAAATGACTCAGTGGCTATAAAATGGCATATTAGTGGAATTATGTCCTTGGCTGTGTGAAGGTGGCTTTTGCGAAGAATTCTGGTCAGCTGGTTTTCTCATGCTGTGTTCTGGAAGATGAATTCAGCATTGTTAAGGATGTGGAGTGGGATGGCCGGGCTCAGGCTCATGTCTGTAATCCCAGCACTTTGGGAGGCCAAGGTGGGTGGATCACCTCAGGTCAGCAGTTTGAGACTGTCTTTGCTGAAAATACAAAAAATTAGCCAGATGTGGTTGCAGGCACCTGTAATCTCCGCTACTCAGGAGGCTGAGGCAGGAGATCACTTAAACCTGGGAGGCAGAGGTTGTGGTGAGCCGAGATCACACCATTGCACTCCAGCCTGGGCGACAAGAGTGAAACTCAGTCTCAAAAGAAAAAGAAAAGAGGGATGTGGAGCGGGAAGCTTGCTGACTCAGAGGTTGGTGCCCTGAGCACTGGGATGGTTCTGTCCTTGCTCCCCGTGTTTAGCCAGTGGGGTTACCCATCAGAGCACCGTAAAATCCCACAGGGCTTAGGGACTAGGTTTTATACCTGTCACAGTGTACAGCCCGACTGAGTTACCCATCAGAGCGCCGTAAAATCCCACAGGGCTTAGGGACTAGGTTTTATACCTGTCACAGTGTACAGCCCTGCAAGTTCTGCTTCTCTGAGAGCCTCTGACCCTGCCTTGTCTAGGCAGCGCCGTTTGCAGAGGGCTCTGAAGTACAGTTCAGGAGCTGGTTTTCCAACACCATGGGGTGAAGGGGAGTTACATGTTACGCCTGCACTTTGGAAAGATCCCTGGCACCTGTGAGGAAGGTGATCCAGAAAAGAACAAGCTGGGAGTCCAGAGAGAGGATGAGGGATGCGAGCAGATGCTGGGGTTAGACAGGCATGAGAGAGAACCTCCTTGAAAGCCCATGTGGTGGCACATGAGTGCTGGGGGCTGGGGGTTGATGGGAGAATCCTCTGCTACCTCTGGTGGATCAGATTACTGGGTGACCATGTCTTGGTGACTTCACGCGCCATTCCCCAGGCTGTCCGTCCTGGGCAGGGAAGAGATCAGAGAGCTTGGAAAGGGACATGGCTGTGCCCTACAGGTGGCTCCGATAATGGATGCCCAAGGGAGTGAGACTTTGTCGTCGGGCGTTATACGTGGTTGAGAAGTCAACCCCTTGTCTGGCTGGCAGCTGAGAGCTGGAATTCAGGAATGTAGGGCAGCCAGGGAGGTCACTTAGAGACACACTAAGTATGAGGTGTGTCCAATGGGACATCTGTGTGGTTGTGTTCAGCAGGGGTTGAATCCTGAGCTGGGACGAGGGAAGCCTGGGTGGCCAGTGTGAGACTCAGATGTCTTCAGATGTCCCCAGAACAGAACACGATAGGGCCATTTGTATGGTGGTCATAGCCGAGGCCAGAGTCCAGTCTGTTCTTCCTCTCTCTGCATATTCTACCACAGTCCTCATTCTGATTCTTCCTCTGCAGCTTCTCAGTTCCCCACTAGAATTCCTTTTTTGGGGGGGACAGGGTCTCACTCTGACATAAGGCTGCAGTGCAGTGACAAGATCTTGGCTTACTGCATCCTCTGCCTCCCAGGTTCAAGCAATTCTCCCACCTCAGCCTCCTGATAGCTGAAATTACAGGTGCACACCACCAAGCCCAGCTAATTTTTTGTATTTTTAGCAGCAGTGGGTTTTTTTGTTTTTTTTTGTTGTTTTTTGTTTTTTTTTTTTTCTTTTTTCTTTTTCTTTTTTTTTTTTTTTTGAGACAGAGTTTTGCTCTTGTTACCCAGGCTGGAGTGCAATGGCACGATCTCGGCTCACCGCAACCTCCGCCTCCTGGGCTCAGGCAATTCTCCTGCCTCAGCCTCCTGAGTAGCTGGGATTACAGGCACGTGCCACCACGCCCAGCTAGTTTTTTGTATTTTTAGTAGAGACGGGGTTTCACCATGTTGACCAGGATGGTCTCGATCTCTCGACCTCGTGATCCACCCGCCTCGGCCTCCCAAAGTGCTGGGATTACAGGCTTGAGCCACCGCGCCCGGCCGCAGCAGTGGGTTTTGCCGTGTTGGCCAGGCTGGTATCGAATTCCTGACCTCAAGTGATCCTCCTACCTCAGCCTCCCAACGTGCTGGGATGACAGGCGTGAGCCACCGCACCTGGCCTGGAATTTTGTCTGGCCTCTGAGCTGTAGGATGGTTCACTGGTACATTTTGCTGTTGGTCAGCATTGTTTGATGGTGGTGGTAATGGTGGTTCCAGATGATTCTATGTGTTTCTCCTATTTCTTAGGTGACAGACCCTAGGAAATCCATTTGGTTCCTGCAGATAAGTTAACAGCAAGAGGCTCTCGTTCACCTTTATCAGATGTCACCTGCAGAAAGGTGACAGAGAGCTGGCGCACTGCCACTAAGTGCAGAGATGTGATTGCAAACCGAGAGGCCTGATTGCTGCTCTCGGGAGTGAGACTCCTCTGTCCTGGACCATCCTCCCCCGCCATGTGACTATGCTTGGTTTCAGAGACCTGGTGTATTCCCGGGAGAGGCAGGGCTGAGCATTCTTCCTGCTGCGGTTTCCCCTGGCGTCAGTATTTTCCAAAACATTGCAAGAACTAACGTGAGAAAAAAGAAATAGCCTTTATCTCTCGTGCCTGACAGCTAATCACATTACTCTGGGGATTAGATAAAAATAAATCATTTTTTATTCCTATAGTTAGCTACTGTGATGACCCAAGTAATCATTTGTGAGAGAATTTCAAAACTTAAATCAATTTAGGGAACAAGTAAATACAGAAAGGGCCACGTGGGCCAGGCATGGTGGTTCACACCTGTTATCCCAGCACTTTGGGAGGCCAAGACCAATCCGGGTAACATGGTGAAAACCCATCCCTACAAAATACCCGCTCCCCCAAAAAAATCTGGATATGGTGGTGCATGCTTGTAGTCCCAGCTATTTAGGAGGCTGAGGTAGAAGAATGGTTTGAACCCGGGAGGTAGAGGCTGCAGTGAGCCAAAGTCACAGCACTGCACTCCAGCCTGGGTGACAGAGCCAGAACTTGTGTCAAAAAAACAAAAGACAAAACGGAGTCATGTGAACTTGAAGAGAGCTGGCATTTGTCTCATTAATGATGTTGTAGAGACTGTTTGCTCTCAGTTGTGTCCCCCTGGAAGCCACCATGGGGACCCCACTGTGCTCCTGATGTGTCTGGGGTGATGCTTTAAGACGCTGAGGACAGTGTTGTTCTATGTTTCCCTGTTCTGTTTCACTCCCTAATACTTTACAAAACTGTGCAATGGGCTGGGTGTGGTGGCTCACGCCTGTAATTCCAACACTTTGAGAGGCCGAGGCAGTGGATTACCTGAGGTCAGAAGTTTGAGACCAACCTGGCCAACACAGTGAAACTCTGTCTGTACTAAAAAATACAAAAAATTAGCTGGGCATGGTGGTATGCACCTGTGATCCCAGCTACTTGGGAGGATGAGGCAGGAGAATCACTTGAACCTGGGAGGTGGAGGTTGCAGTGAGCCAAGATCGTGCCATCACCCTCCAGCCTGGGTGACAGAGCAAAAAATCCCTCTCAAAAATGAATGAATGGATGAATGAATGAATGCAGTGCTTTCCTCTAACTTATCTGGTTTTGTTCCCAGGCCATGTCCTCATTGAGATTTCAAGCACCCACAAGAAACTCAACGAGAGTCTTGATGAAAATGTACGTGATCTGTTTTTCTCTTTGCAGAAAACACTTGTTTTATGTTTTAGAACTTATTTTGCTTAAAGTCTCAAATCTGGCATGAATTTTTTATTTCCTTTTGTTAACAGTTTAAAAAATTCCACAAAGAGATTATCCATGAGCTGGAGAAGAAGATAGAACTTGACGTGAAATATATGAATGTAAGTGCACAGTTCTCCTCCAGCCCCAGCCTTGGGCTGCCTGACCTCCCAGCCCGAGGAGAACCCATCCCCACTGTTTACTCATCAGCAGCAAACAGAAGTGGAGTTCGGTGTTGATCATGCCCGGATACATGAAACCGAAAAGGTCCCTTTGGGATGTGTGAGCTGGTTTTTGCTAACATTTGGGGTCTCTCTTAGAAAGCGTAGAGGCCAGGGGCGGTGGCTCACACCTGTAATCCCATCACTTTGGGAGACCGAGGCGGGCAGATCCCTTGAGGTCAGGAGTTCAAGACCAGCCTGGCCAACATAGTGAAACCCTGTCTCTGCACAAAAAAAAAAAAAAAAAAAAAATTAGCTGGGCATGGTGATGCATGCCTGGAGTCCCTACTTGGGATGCTGAGGCAGAAGAATGGCTTGAACCTGGGAGGCGGAGGCTGCGGCGGGCCAAGATCGTGCCACTGTACTCCAGCCTATGCAATAGAGCTAGACTGTGTCTAAAGAAAAGCGGTGGGGGGGAGGCATGGCACCCCTTGTTTGTCCGCTGTTGTTCGTTCCAGCAGGTTTCTGCAGGTCCCCTTCAGGGTGGCCCTATAGCCCCAGTATTCAGGGCTCTTGCCCGCTTCCTTGCTACTGTAGAGAACTTGCTTCTGCCACCCAAAGTCCCTTTCTGCTCACCAAGCCCTCTGCGTGGCAGTTGGTGTGCGAGCTGCCCTGAACTCATCCCTTCTTTGTGGTCCTTGTTAAGCCTGCTGCCTGTCTTTGCACTCCTGGCTGGAATATGTTATCTGATAGTTAGCCTTCAGAAACTCTAAAACATAGACACCTTCTTTTTTTTTTTGGAGATAGAGTCTTGCTCTGTCACCCAGGCTGGAGTACAGTGGTGTGATCTCAGCTCACTGCAACCTCTGTCTCCTGGGTTCCAGCAATTCTCATGCCTCAGCCTCCCAAATAGCTGGGATTACAGGTGCCTGCCACTGCACCCTGCTAATTTTTGTACTTGTAGTAGAGATGGGGTTTCACCATCCTGGCCAGGCTAGTCTCAAACTCCTGACCTCATGATCCACCTGCCTTGGCCTCCAAAAGTGCTGGGATTACAGGCATGAGGCACTGCACCCAGCCAGACACCCCACTTATCTGCACTTCACAGATTATAGGGAAAATAGGGATTTGAATTCTGATGTGGGTCTGTTAGACTTAAGACCCTGAGTTCGCTGGATGTGGTGGCTCACCCCTGTAATCCCAGCACTTTGGGAGGCCAAGGTAGGCAGATCATTTGAGGTCAGGAGTTCAAGACCAGCCTGGCCAACATGGTGAAACCCGTCTCTACTAAAAATACAGCTGGGTGTGGTGGTGTGTGCCTGTAATCCCAGCTACTAGAGAGGCTGAGGCAGGAGAATCACTTGAACCCGGGAAATGGAGGTTGCAGCAAGCCTAGATCGCATCACTACGATCTAGCCTCAGTGACAGAGTGAGAGTCAGTGTCAAAAAAAGAGACCCTGCATTCTTAAATACTCTGCAACACAGCACCCAAAAACAACCCTAAGCTATTGCACCTGTTCATTCTGTTTCTTGAAATCGTAAGTCATAAAACAGCCAGGAGCATGTAACCTAATTTGGTGGCTAAGTGCTTTGGGTGGGACTTTGAGACTTTGGATGGCAGAAGAAAGTTAACCACCCAGCGTCAAAAAGCCTTTGAGGAAAGAAGGAATAAAAGAAAGAGCAGATGTCCTCAGAGAACAGCCATTCTGGTCAGGGGCTCCTCGTTCAAACAGGGACCTTTAGAACAAAGGCAAGACATTAACATTGAATGGATGGGGCCATGTGAACTGAGAGGTGAGGGCCCTAGTCAGTGCGAGAGTGGTGCGAGCTGTGGTATGAGGGTCCCAGCCAACATGCAGATGGTGTGAGCTGTGTGCTAAGGGACCCAGTCAGCATAAGGATGGTATAAAATGAGTGAGGGCCCCAGCCATTGTGAGGATGGTGTGAACCGCAGGGTGAGGGTCCCTGCCAACATACCGATGGTGTGAATGGCAGGCTGAGGGTTCCAGCCAGCATAAGGATGGTGAAATGAGTGAGGGCGTCAGCCACTGTGGGTATGATGTGAACTGCAGGATGAGGGTCCCAGCCAGCATGCAGATGGTGTGAACTGCAGGGTGAGGGTTCCAGCCAGCATGCAGATGGTGTGAACTGGAGGGTGAGGGTCCCAGCCAGCATAAGGATGCTGTGAAATGAGGAGTGAGGGCCCTGGGCAGTGTGATGATGGTGTGAACTGCAGGGTGAACTGCAGGGTGATGGTCCCAGCCAACATAAGGATGGTGTGAAATGAGTGAGGGCCCTGACCATTGTGAGGATGGTGTGAACTGTCAGGCAAGGGTCCCAGCCAGCATGCAGATAGTGTGAACTGCAAGGTGAGGGTCCCAGCCAGTGTGAGGATGGTGTGAACTGCAGGGTGAGGGTTGCAGCCAGCATGCAGATGATGTGAACTGATGGGTGAGGGCCCTGGCCAGCATGAGGATGGTGTAAAGTGTGGGTGTGGGGGCCCTGGGCAGCAGGAGGATGGTGTGAACTGGTGTGAGTGTAGGGGCCCCAGCCAGTATGAGGATGGTGTGAACTGGTGTGGGCATGGGGGCCCCAGCCAGCAGGAGGATGGTGCGAACTGGCTTGGGTGTGGGGGCCTCAGCCAGAGGAAGGATGGTATGAGACTGGCTTGGGTGTGGGAGCCCCAGCCAGCAGGAGGATGGTGTGAAACTGGTGTGGGTGTGGGGGCCTCAGCCAGAGGAAGGATGGTGTGAGACTGGCATGGGTGTGAGGGCCTCAGCCAGTAGAAGGATGGTGTGAACTGGCTTGGGTGTGGGGGCCCCGGCCAGCATGAGGGTGGTGTGAACTGGCATGGGTGTGAGGGCCCTGGCCAGCAGGAAGATGGTGTGCACTGGTGTGAGTGTGCGGGCCCCAGCCAGCATGAGGATGGCATGAAGTGAGAGTATCATATCAGGCCCTGAGCAGCCACACACAGTGGAAGTGTAAGCAGAAGCAACTGTGTGGCAATTTGTGTGGCACCACAGTAAAATAAGCACAGCATTTAACTTACAGGCAACTCTAAAAAGATACCAAACAGAACACAAGAATAAATTAGAGTCTTTGGAGAAATCCCAAGCTGAGTTGAAGAAGATCAGAAGGAAAAGCCAAGGAGGACGAAACGCTCTCAAATATGAACACAAAGAAATTGAGGTGAGCTTTTCAGCAATATCTTGTTTTCTTTTGTTGTTGATAATTTGTACAGTTTAAGAGGAGGTTGGCCGGGTGTGGTGGCTCACCCCTTTAATCCCAGCACTTTGGGAGGCCAAGGTGGGTAGATCATTTGAGGTCAAGAGTTCAAGACCAGCCTGGCCAACATGGTGAAACGCCATCTCTACTAAAAACACAAAAATTAGCTGAGGTGATGGCAGGTGCCTGTAGTTCCAGCTATTTGGGAGGCTGAGGCAGGAGAATCGCTTGAACCTAGGAGGCAGAGGTTGCAATGAGCCAAGATTGTGCCACTGCACTCCAGCCTTGGTGACAGAGCAAGACTCCATCTCAAAAAAAAATTTTTGAAGTTGATCTCATAGAGGTGGAAAGTAGAATGCTGGTTACCTGTAATTCTCTAGATAGCTGAGGATGGTGAGTGTGTCGATGCAAGGGGAGGGAGTGGATGAAGGAGTGCTTGGTTAATAGGTACAAACATACAGATGGATAAAAGGAATAAATTCTAGTGTCCAGGAGCAGAGTAGGGTGACTGTAGTTAATAGCAATGCCTTGTATATTTCAAAATAATTAGAAGAGAGGTCTTGGAACGTACCCAACACGCAGAAATAATAACTTGAGGTGATGGACACCCAAGGACCCTGTCTTGATCATTATTACACGTGCCCCATAAATATATATGAATGTCATGTATCAGTTTTTTAAAATAAGCATTTTGACTGAGAGCTGAAGGATGTGGAGTTTTCCAGAGTTAAGAATAATTAGTTAGCGGCCTCCTGCCAAAACATGGGCTTTTTCTCCTGGCTCTGAAAGGAGAAGAGGCTCTCCATGATTGGTGTTACTATTCCCACTATGCAGATGGGGAAAATGAGGCTTAGGTTATATCATATTTTATTATTCCATTTTCACGCTGCTGATAAAGACATACCTGAGACTGGGCAGTTTACAAAAGAAAGAGGTTTAATGGACTCACAGCTCCACGTGGCTGGGGAGGCCTCACAATCATGGCAGAAGGCAAGGAGAAGCGAGTCACCTCATACATGGATGGCAGCAGGCAAAGAGAGAGTGTGTGCAGGGAAACTCCTGCTTATAAAACCATGAGATCTGTGAGACTCATTCACTATCACAAGCCTAGCACAGGAAAGACCAGCTCCCACCAGGTCCCCCCCGAAACACTTAAGAATTATGGAAGCTGCAATTCAAGATGAGATTTGGGTGGGGACACAGCCAAGCCATATCACACATTGTTGGCATTTGAAACTGGGTTTGAACCTGGAACTTTCTGGTTCCAAAGCCCATGGTACTTCCCAGTAGGACACAATCATATCTCTGGAATACAAAGTAATATTTGTGCAAATCACCCCATGGGAAGGTGTCAGCGACTTCTCTTTGCACATGAGTCAGGGACCTCACGGAGAACAATGGTATCTACCTGGGTCAGGTTACAACATACTTTCCTCTCATGTGTTTATTATTCAAATAAAGCAGGCATGGGCCAGGCGCGGTGGCTCAAGCCTGTAATCCCAGCACTTTGGGAGGCCGAGGCGGGTGGATCACGAGGTCAAGAGATCGAGACCATCCTGGTCAACATGGTGAAACCCCGTCTCTACTAAAAATACAAAAAATTAGCTGGGCATGGTGGCACGTGCCTGTAATCCCAGCTACTCAGGAGGCTGAGGCAGGAGAATTGCCTGAACCCAGGAGGCGGAGGTTGCGGTGAGCCGAGATCGCGCCAATGCACTCCAGCCTGGGTAACAAGAGCGAAACTCCGTCTCAAAAAAAAAAAAAAAAAAGCAGGCATGAAGATGGCAGAAGATAAACGTCAGGCTGTGTGCTATCTGATGCTCGTGTCATACTTATGTAACTATTATTTTTTTTTAGTACGTGGAGACCGTTACTTCTCGTCAGAGTGAAATCCAGAAATTTATTGCAGATGGTTGCAAAGAAGCTCTGCTTGAAGAGAAGAGGCGCTTCTGCTTTCTGGTTGACAAGCACTGCGGCTTTGCCAACCACATACATTATTATCACTTACAGGTGGGCATGGTGGCAAATTGCATTGAGTGTATTAATAACTTTATTTCATATTTAAATGCCCCAGAAGGCTGGACCATGGCTCATGCCTGTAATCCCAACACTTTGGGAGGCTGAGGCAGGCAAATCACCTGAGATCAGGAGTTCAAGACCAGCCTGGGCAACATGGCAAAACTCTGTAAAAAAATTTAAAAAACTAGCCAGGCATGATAACATGTGCCTGTAGTCCTAGCTACTCAGGAGGCTGAGGTGGGAGGATCCCTTGAGCCTGGGAAGTTGAGGCTGCAGTCAGCTATGATTGTGCCACTGCACTCCAACCTGAGCAACAGAGCAGGACCCTGTCTCAGTCAGTCCATACATGGAGAGATGTACACACAGGCACGCCCCTCACCTTCCACAGGTCCCCAATATAAAGCAGTGGGCCATTTTCCCAATGAAAAGATTCTAATAGGCCAGGCACAGTGGCTCACGCCTGTAATCCCAGCACTTTGGGATGCTGAGACAGGTGGAGCATGAAGTCAGGAGATCAAGACCGTCCTGGCCAACATGGTGAAACCCCATCGCTACTAAAAATAAAAAAATTAGCCAGGCATGGTACCACACGCCTATAGTCCCAGCTGTTTGGGCGGCTGAGGCAGGAGATTTGCTTCAACCTGGGAGGTGGAGGCTGTAGTGAGCCGAGATCATGCCACTGCACTCCAGCCTGGGCAACAGAGTGAGACTCTATCCCCCCATCCCCCCAAAAAATTAATAAAAAATACATCCATATTTAAAGTCCTTCATAAAATAATGCTTCATCATTGAGAATAGCACATTTGCTCTTCTCACCTGCGAGTCAGCTTTTCCCAGGCGCTCTGATGTGTCCTCAGCATCAGTGTCTTCACCATAGCTGCCACTGAGTCCCCGCGGGCCCAGGTCTACCTCACCTGGGCAATTTGAGATGCTCCCTTCATGGGTCTGTGTATGGGGGTCACAGGCAGTTCTGTCCCAGCCCACAGGCCCCATTCACACACATCAGTACAGCTAGGCTCAGTGATGCATTCATTCCTCTTGATGGTGTTTGTTCCTGGTTTCTTCAACTGAATGACCTCATCACCCTCCTTCCAGCACACGCAGCTGCAAGCTTAGAACCCCCAGGAATCATTATGCAACACATGCCATAATGTGTTGTTTTAAATTATGAACCCTTTTGGGCCTTTGTAAACATCCAGAACTAGCAGTGGTTGAGGCCAAGTATTCATTGTTCTTCATAGTACAGTCAGAGTGTTCCAAAATATCAGAAGCTTTGCAAGAGCTTGAATATGAGTCAACTTCATCTTTGTTTTAAAGTAAAAATACCTTGTATGTAGGCAAATGTATTTTCTATACACTTTTTACAACTGTAAAGAGTATTCAGGACTGGGCATGATGTCTCACACCTGTAATCGCAGCACTTTGGGAGGCCCAGGTGGGCAAATCACTTGAGGTCAGAAGTTCGAGACCAGCCTGGCCAACATGGTGAAACCTGTCTCTATTAAAAATACAAAAATTAGCCACGTGTGGTGGGCGCCTGTAATCCCAGCCACTTGGGAGGCAAGGCAGGAGAATTGCTTGAACCTGAGAGGCTGAGGTTACAGTAAGCCCAGATCGCACCACTGCACTCCAGCCTGGCCGACATAGTAAGACTGCCTAAAAAAAAAAAAAAAAAAAAAATACCCCGAAGGAATGTTCAGCTCCCTAAACTAAAACAGATTTAAAATGAGAACAGCAGACTAGGCACAGTGGCTTATGCCTGTAATCTCAGCCGTTTGGGTGGCCAAGGCAGGAGGATCACTTGAGCCCAGGGCAACATAGTGAGACCCTGTCTCTACAAAAATAAATTTTTTTTAATTAGCCAGGTGAGGTGGTGTGCACCTATGGCCCCAGCTACTCAGGAGGCTGAGGTGGAAGGATTGCTTGAGCCCAGGAGTTCGAGGCTGCAGTGAGCTGTGATCATACCAGTGCACTCCAGCCTGGGTGACAGAGCCAAGATCCTCTCTCAAAAAAGAAAAATAAAATGGTTAAGGCGGGGTGTGGTGGCTCATGCCTGTAATCCCAGCACTTTGGGAGGCCAAGGCAGGTGGATCACGAGGTCAAGAGAGCGAGACCATCCTGGTCAACATGGTGAAACCCCGTCTCTACTAAAATTAAAAAAATTAGCTGGGCATGGTGGCTCACACCTGTAGTCCCAGCTACTTGGGAGGCTGAGGCAGGAGAATTGCTTGAACCCAGGAGGTGGAGGCTGCAGTGAGCTGAGATTGTGCCATTGCACTCCAGCCTGGGTAACGAGCGAAATTCCATCTCAAAAAAAGAAAGAAAATGATTATAGCCAAGGAAAGAATTGCTGTACTAGGTGATCACTTTTGTCAACCGTGCATCTGTACTAGTTTTGGGAATGCAGAGTTCACTTTAGAATCTTCTCTTCCCAGAGTGAGGGCATCCTGTGGCACCGGGACCGTAGGCTGGAGGGTTCAGAGGTGACCTGGAGGTCCTCTTCCTCTGTGACACCCCGCCATGTCATGAGGCAGCCTGGCCCCTTTTCAGGGAGCTCCAGTTATCAGCAGAGTCTTTCTTAGACTTAACCATGGGTCCCAGTAATGCTTTATAGAGTGACACAGATCAAACCTGCTCCTTTCTATACTGGAAGTTTCTTCAACTATCTGAAAACTGGTTTTGTGACTTGCCTTAATTCAGCTAAAGCACCCCAGACCTTTCTGTGGAGCTGGGATGAAGCAGGCCCAAGCAGCTGGTCCGCGTTGCTGCAGAGGGTCAGGGTGATAGCCGAGGGTCGGGTGGTGTTGACTTGGTGTGTCAGGGTGACAGTTGGGGGTGGGATGGCGTTGACCTAGTGTGTCAGGGTGACATTTGGGGACAATAGTGGTATGGGGGCTTTGCCCCCCCTCCAGCACTGACATCAGCTCCCCTGCCCCTCTTTGTAAACTGAGAGGCTGATTAAAAGCAGCGTGACTGACATGTACACAGCTGCAGGGCAGGGCCCCGACTTCCCTTGTCTAACCAGAGTGCTGCTCAGAAAAGGGGTTCACTGGAAGGGCCTGGGGGCCCCTCTGGGAGCCCAGTTGTCAGGCTTGTGGGTGCTGGAGGGGCGCTCAGCCTCCAGGGCTGCAGGGTCTCATCCCCGCTGGTCAGGGTCTGCTCTGCAAAGCCTTATTCGGCCTGTGGTGGGGTATCCCTCGGCACTGCACCACTCACCGACGACAGTCCCTCTTTCCCCTAGATACTCTCTGGACAGAGTCGGAGTCAATTCTCTCATGCGTGAACCAGTCAGAGTCAGTTCCTGGGCTGGTGGCCTGTGTTGGAGGCGCTGCTTTGAGTAGGAGTGGGAGGGAGAAAGTGATGGTTAGTTAGTATTTTGGGGGCCACCTGGAAAACAGGATTCATCCAGATTGTTCCCTGCCTCCCTTTGAGTTTCTGTTCTGGTTCTTAACCATTTACCATCTCCGTATTAGTCCTAAGCTCTGTATTCACAGAGCGAGAGCAGGAACTTTCCGTTTGATTCACCGTTCATGCCCCTCTCAGCCAGTGAGATACAGCAGATGCCCTAGGTGCTTAAACTGCTCCCCGAGTTTAACCCAGAGCCCCCACACTCCTGCTGCTAAGCCTGTAATAGGTTATCAGCGATATGACGAGATGGAATTTTTCTCAGCTCTTCAAACAGTTGTCTTTGTCTTTAGTTTTCTTCTTTTGGATTTGCAGTCTGCAGAACTACTGAATTCCAAGCTGCCTCGGTGGCAGGAGACCTGCGTTGATGCCATCAAAGTGCCAGAGAAAATCATGAATATGATCGAAGAAATAAAGACCCCAGCCTCTACCCCCGTGTCCGGGACACCTCAGCCTTCGCCCATGATTGAGAGAAGAAATGTGGTAGGAGTCAGTTTTCTCTTCCAGATTTCAATTGTGTGTTTCCTAACTTCATCCAGGCCAAATTCGTCTTTGGTGGTAGAAATCAGAAGTCCTCCTTATGACTTCCAAGGCCACCTTTTTGCACCTCTATCCTCATACCTTGAGATGTGAAGTTAGCTGGGCACATGTTTTATACTATATTTGGTGCTATTATCTTTGTTTTGAAAATTTTATTCTTACTGGCTTTTTTGTTGGGTTTTTTGTTTGTTTTTTGAGACAGAGTCTTGCTCTGTCGCCCAGGCTGGAGTGCAATGGTGTGATCGCAGCTCACTGCAACCTCCACCTCCTGAGTTCAAGTGTTTCTCCAGCCTCAGCCTCCCAAATAGCTGGGATTACAGGTGCCCACCACCATACCTGGCTAATTTTTTGTATTTTTGTATTTTTATTTTTGGAGATGGAGTCTTGCTCTGTCACCTGGCTGGATGCAGTGGCACCGTCTTGGCTCGCTGCAACCACCACCTCCTGGGCTCAAGTGATTCTCCTGCCTCGGCCTCCCGAGTAGCTGGGACTACAGGCATGGGCCACCACACCCAACTAATTTTTTGTATTTTTAGTAGAGATGGGGTTTCACCATGTTGGCCAGGATGATCTCTATCTCTTGACCTTGTGATCCACCCACCTCAGCCTCCCAAAGTGCTGGAATTACAGGTGTGAGCCATCGTACCCAGCTTCTTGCTGTTTTTAATTGTAATCATTTCAACTAAGTTTTTTCCCAAGGAAGGAACTATAGGTATCTCACAAAATAAATTAGACACACTCCGATGCCATTCATCACAATGTCAGGCACTTCAAGAAAAAAAACAGGCATCAAGGTATTCACAGTAATGAATTTGCACATTTGTAGTTTGCCAATCTTTGAACCTGGGCTCTCTGTGGAGACTGGGATGTAGCAGGTAGTTTAAACACGCGGGGCTGCTCTTTCTGCCCATCTCAAACACCCTGAAATGTGGCCGGGTGCAGTGGCTCATACCTGTGATCTCAGCTCACTGCAACCACTGCCTCCTGGGTTCAAGTGATTCTCCTGCCTCAGTCTCCCAAGTAGCAGGACTACAGGTGCATGCCACCACACCCAGAATCTGTGGCAGGAGATCTGCGTTGATGCCATCAAAGTACCAAAGAAAATCATGAATGTGATTGAAGAAATAAAGACCCCAGCCTCTATCCCCATGTCCTACCCCCGTAACTTTGGGAAGCTGAACACTCGAGGTCAGAAGTTCGAGAGCAGCCGGGCCAACATGGTAAAACCCCATCTTTACTAAAAATACAGAAAATAGCTGGGTGTGGTAGCACCTGCCTGTAATCCAGCTACTTGGGAGGCTGAAGCAGGAGAATCATGTGAATCTGGGAGACAGAGGTTGCAGTGAGCTGAGATCATACTGCTACACTCCAGCCTGGGCCACAGAGTGAGACTCTCTCAAAATAAATAAATAAAAATAAAGCCTATGATTAAAAAAAAAAAAAAAGCCTTGGGAATCTGTGTAATTCCAATTCTGCATGATACTAATATTAGACTAATACAGAATTTTTCACAGGTTAGGAAAGATTATGACACCCTTTCTAAATGCTCACCAAAGATGCCCCCCGCTCCTTCAGGCCGAGCGTATACCAGTCCTTTGATCGATATGTTTAATAACCCAGCAATGGCCGCACCAAAATCAGAAAGGATAAATAATTCAACAGGTAAGAGATTTCTTTGAAGATACATTTTAAATTTGTTTTAAGATAAGCTGTGAAATAAATATTTTGGATAAATGTGTTGCAAGGTCTGGAGGTAAACAAGCAGGTATAGTGGATACATTCAGCCCTGGCTGTGCAGGCATGAGTTCAGAACAAATACAGGTCTAAACTATGAGATGCACTGATAAGTGATACATTTCTCTGACACTCACCAGTTCTGCACACTGACTGATGTTTAGCCAGCACAAACATACGGTTGAGAATTAATATATTTACAAATAAATGGAGGCTGGGCGTGGTGGCTCATGCCTGTAATCTCAGCACTTTGGGACGCTGAGGCAGGTGGATCACCTGAGGGTCAAGAGTTCGACACCAGCCTGACCAACATGGTGAAACCCCGTCTCTACTAAAAAATACAAAAATTAGCCAGAGGTGGAGGCATGCACCTGTAGTCCCAGCTACTTGGGAGGCTGAGATAGGAGAATTGCTTGAACCCAGGAGGCAGAGGTTGCAGTGAGCTGAGATCGCACCACTGCACTCCTGCCTGGACAACAGAGTGAGACTCTGTCTCAAAAAGAAAAGAAAAGAAAATTGCTGTTGAGTTCAACACCAGCAAGGTAGAGAGTGGCAGGTTAAAGGGGCAGCAAGGTGTATGTTGTAATCATGAAGAATCTGCAAGAATAAAGCAGAAAGAGATCTGGCATTGTTTTAAATTAAAGATGCTTGCTGTATTACTAGCTTGGGAAAACTTGAATGGAAAACGAAAATATATATATATTTTTAAAAGGGCCTGAAGCAGTGGCTCACACCTATAATCCCAGCACTTTGGGAGGCCAAGGTAGGAGGATTGCTTGAGGCCAGGAGGTCAGGACCAGACTGGGCAACATAGTGAGACACTGTCTCTACAAAAAAAATTTAAAATGATCCTGGCATGGCAGCATGTGTGCCTGTAGTCCCAGCTACTTAGAAGCCTGAGGAGGGAGGATCCTTTAAGCCTGGGAAGTCCAGGCTGCAGTGACCTGTGATCCTGCCACTATACTCCAGCCTGGGCAACAGAATGAGACTCTGTCTCAAATGTTATGCATACATATATGTATATATTTTATGTTTTTTCCCCTGGAGTGGAAATATCAGCCTGCGTTTGAATGGAAACGAACAGTACAGCCTCATGAGTAGAGGCTCTGGGATGGGCCTGCTGGAGCTGCTTCCTGGCCCAGCCCAGCACTTGCCAGCTGTGGGGTCTGTCCTGTGGATAATGGCAGCACCTTCCTCCTGGGAGTCTGGCAGGATGGCAGCTGTGAGGCATTGAGATTGGCGATGGGCCCCTGGTGAGGAATCCATAAATGGAACTCATCCTCACCTCATCCTTCCCACGCCTGGGGGTGAGAAGCTGAGCAGCCGGCATGGCAAGACTGACTGTGTTTGCAGTTTTCTTCTTTTCTTTGTGGACATTGGCAGTTGGGTTTGAACCGTGGCCCCGGCCTGCCTGTGCGATTGCAATTGCAAGGGCGGTTTGGCGATGGGGCAGTTTGCCTCTCAGGAGAGCCATCCTGGCCAAAGCAGAGCGCAGATAAACCTGGCAGACGCTGCCTTGTCCTTGGGTCAGGAAAAGAGCCCACAGCTGCAGGGATCCTCTTCTGCACTGTGCGTGGCTTCAGGCCGCGGGCTGCCTCTGTTTCTCAGCAGTCCCTGTCCCTTCTGGGCAATGATCAAGGTGAGGAAATACGACAGGGTCAGTTTCCATGGAAGGAGCATTGGTGGCAAGATGGGCATGGGTGGCTGTCTGGGGCTTGCTCATTGGAACGTGCCTATTGATTCTCATGCTTTGAGAAGCCATTACCGCTACATCCCCTCCAACAGCTACTTCCGAAGATCCCAGTTTACAACGATCAGTTTCGGTTGCAACTGGACTGAACATGATGAAAAAGCAGAAAGTGAAGACCATCTTCCCGCACACTGCGGGCGCCAACAAGACCTTACTCAGCTTTGCACAGGGAGACGTCATCACGCTGCTCATCCCCGAGGAGAAGGATGGCTGGCTGTACGGAGAACATGATATGTCCAAGGCGTAAGTCTGGGCGTGATGGTCCCCGCAGGGCTCCAGACGGCCACTCCCTTCCAGAGCAGCCAAGCTGCAAGTCGTCTTTGTGGGCATGTTCACATTTTAGCCGAAGTGAAGTTTCTGGTTTCGTTCTAGTTTAGTTAGCTCGGGTTATTCGATCCAAGGCTATTTTCTGTATGTCTGTGCGTGTAGAGATAGAATGGTGCATGCCTAGGTTATTAGATCATGTGAAGTCACCTCTCTGCAAGTAGTAAACATTCTTTAGTTTTTTTAAAAAATTTAGCGTCTAGCCGAGTGCTGAGCATCCCAGCACTTGGGGAGGCCAAGGTGGGCGGATCACCTGAGGTCAGGAGTCTCCAGACCAGCCGGGTCAACATGGCGAAAACCCATCTCTACTAAAAATACGAAAAGTAGCCAGGCATGGTGGTGCATGCCTGTACTCCTAGCTACTCGGGAAGGTGAGGCAGGGGAATCTGGGATTGAACCTGGGAGGTGGGCGTTGCAGTGAGCCGAGATGGCGCCACTGCACTCCAACCTTGGGTGACAGCAAGACTCCATCTCAAAAAGAAAATAATAATAATAATAATAATTAGCATTTGATTTCTTGAGGATAATCTGCATATCAGATATACTTTGTTAAAGTTTAGCACATAGGTAGTTTGAATGCCATCCTCATAATTTCAGCCATAAGTATGTGCACAAGTCTTACTGTAACTGGCTTGTCAGTTTTCTAGATAGATTGTTCAGATGTGTTAAATAAAACCATATGAAAAATAAGCAAAAGGGTAATCCAAATCAAGTTAATGTTATAAATACAACATATATTGCTTTTTAGCCAGGCATAGTGGTACACGCCTCTAGTCCCAGCTACTCGGATGCTGAGGTAGGAGGATTGTTTGAGGCCACAGTGAGCTACGATCGCCCCACTCACTCCAGCCTGGGCAACAGAGCAAAAGCCTGTCTGTATTTTTTTTTTTTTTTAAAAAAAGGAAAACTTTTGTTTGTTTATTTTTGAGACTGAATCTCACTCTGTTGCCCAGGCTGGAGTACAATGGCACAATCTCAGCTCACTGCAACCTCCACCTCCTGGATTCAAGCAATTCTCCTGCCTCAGACTCCTGAGTAGCTGGGATTACAGGCTCCTGCTACCATGCCCAGCTAATTTTTGTATTTTTAGTAGAGACGGGGTTTCACCATGTTGGCCAGGCTGGTCTTGAACTCCTGACCTCATGATCTGCCTGCCTTGGTCTCCCAAAGTGCTGGAATTACAGGCATGAGCCACCACACCTGTCCAAGAAAAATTTTTAGCAATACACATTGTTCAGTATATCTGAAAGTCCATATTCATCTATTCAAAGCCTTAATTTCATTCACTCCACACGTGGGCCTTTATGGTGCAGTCTGCCCTGAGCTTTCATCAAGCTGTTCAGGGAGGTTTCCCTGCACACTTGCCTACTGCTGATAGGGTCTTTTCTCCTTCTTTGCCTGCAGGAGGGGCTGGTTCCCGTCGTCATACACGAAGTTGCTAGAAGAAAATGAGACGGAAGCAATGACTGCGCCCACGCCAAGGTAGCCCTGAGTGTGGCTGAGCGCTCTCAGCAACAGAAACCCCTGCCTGATGTCTCCATAACTCATCACCATCTGGCTGTAGCTCTGTCGCAGGCCCTGCCCTCAGCCCCGGCTCTCGTGGATCAGTGAGAGATGAGACTGTGGCCCACGGTGCTGTCTGCCGTGACTTCTCTTGTCCCCGAGCTTTGCTGACTGCTATGAGGAGACACAGCCCAGGCCACCTCCTCTCCCTACTTCTGCGGCCCCCTGAAACTCCCTCCCTGTCCCCTGCACCTCCTGGTCGCTAAAGCCAAGGCATGTGTTTTCCATCCTTATCTTACATAGTAGCCCTTAGCACTGTTGTATGCTTTTTCTGGAATGTTCTCTGACCCTGGCTGCTTGATCTGTGCTCTGTCATCTGCCTCACCAGCTTTTTACACCCTCTTCTGCCCATCAGTTAAGCATCAGTGTTCTTGGGGGTCACCCTGGGTCCATCCTTCCTGCCTGTGCTGGGCCATCTCGTCCACTCCCGTGGCCTGAACTACCCTGATGACCTTCGCCGAGCACCTCCTTGCTGAAAAACCCCAAATTCGTATTCTAGGCCAGATAATAACAGTAGTAACTGCACTGATTCTCTCATTTAATTCTCGCAGCAGCCCCATGAGGGTGGGCCCCCATTTTAAAAAATGAGGCCAGGCCAGGTGGCTCACGCTTGTAATCCCATCCCAGGCGGGTGGTCATGAGGTCAGGAGTTCGAGACCAGCCTGACCAACACGGCGAAACCTCGTCTCTACTAAAAATACAATAATTAGCTGGGCGTGGTGGCACACACCTGTAATCCCAGCCACTCAGGAGGTTGAGGCAGGAGAATTGCCTGAACCTGGGAGGCGGAAGTTGCAGTGAGCCAAGATCGTGCCACTGCACTCCAGGCTGGGCGACAGAGTGAGACTTCATCTCAAAAAAAAAAAAAAGAAAAAGAAAATGAGGTCAAGTGCGGTGGCTCACACCTGTAATCCCAGCACTTTGGAGGCCAAGGAGGTGGATCACAAGGTCAGGAGTTTGAGACCAGTCTGGCCAACATAGTGAAACCCCATCTCAGCTAAAAATACAAAAATTAGTTAGGGGTGGTGATGCACGCCTGTGATCGCAGCTGCTTGGGAGGCTGAAGCAGGATAATTGCTTGAACCCAGGAGGCAGAGGTTGCAGTGAGCCAAGATCATGCCATTGCACTCCAGCCTGGGTGACAGAGTGAGACTCTGTCACACACAAAAACAAAACAAAACAAACTAAGAGTGTTTTGTATTGACATATGTACTGCATGGGGAGGTGTGTGTGAGGCTTGAGTTCCGTTTTTGGTTTGTGATCGCTCATTACTGTCATCCTTGGTCAAGGACACGGAGGATGTTTGGAGTTTGCACGGTGAGACCTTGTCTTATGTGTGTGCTCTTGTCCTTTTTGGGTTTGAGCCCTGCGCCGGTGAGAAGCATCAGCACCGTGAACTTGTCTGAGAGCAACAGTGTTGTCATCCCCCCACCCGACTACCTGGAATGCTTGTCCATGGGGGCAGCTGCCGACAGGCGGGCAGACGCGGCCAGAACTACATCCACCTTCAAGTCGCCGGCGCCCAAGCCAGAGACCGTGGCTCCTGTGAGTAAAGCTGCACGGGGGTGTCCTTTGTACCAGGCTCGCTGCCACTGGGAGGCACTGGCCTGTTCCCACCATGACAACCTTGCTCTGCTCTGCCCCCAGTGGGAAGACGGTCACTGGGGAGGAGGAGGAGGGGTCTTGTCACCTTTGATCCTCTGGATTCCCTTCCTTGTCATGCAGCCTTTAACCTTCTTGACTCCAGCCCTCTGTCTTGTCGGTGACAGTTTACACACAGTAGCCCCCAGCTTGCTAGATTCTGTTAGGTTTCTTCTCTCTCCTGCCTGGCTGCAGTCTTTTAGCCATTTAATCACCATTTTCTTCCATTTTCATATGTTCTGAAGGGAGGCTTAGGTTAAAAGTGCTAACTTCATCTTTCTTTAGAAAGTTTACTCCCAGGCACTCCGTATGTTATCTTTAACCCTAAACCCTCTGTTCTGGGGTCTTAAGGTTAAAGATAACCCTGAAAGATAACCTTAAAAATGCCTCTGGGGGCCTAGCATACCGCCTGGGCTCTCAGAACCGATTCATCCATTCCCGCAACCGCGCATGTCTGCTGGACACCAGGCCCTGCCTCTTTGGAACTTCGGTTCTAGTGATAGGAAGCAGACAATAAAAAATAAACAAAAACATCGAGATAAAAGCCATGCAGAGAGCCAAGTGTGCTGGCTCACGCCTGTAATCCCAGCACTTTGGGAGGCCCAGGCGGGTGGATCACGAGGTCAAGAGATCGAGACCATCCTGGTCAACACGGTGAAACCCCGTCTCGACTAAAAATACAAAAAATTAGCTGGGCGTGGTGGCGCGTGCCTGTAATCCCAGCTACTCAGGAGGCTGAGGCAGGAGAATTGCCTGAACCCAGGAGGCGGAGGTTGCGGTGAGCCGAGTTTGCGCCATTGCACTCCAGCCTGGGTAACAAGAGTGAAACTCCGTCTCAAAAAAAAAAAAAGCCACGCAGAGAATAATACAAGGTGAGGTGATGGTGGGTGGGGGGGAATGTGGCTGGACATCACTCCCGGGTTAGATTGGCTGAGCTTGGTGCACCCTGGTGTGAGACCCCTGGGAGAAGGGAAGGAGGCTGGGCAGTGGTGTCTGCACACCTCGCTCCAGGAGCTGTCTCGCTTTGGGTGAAGGAGCCAGGGTTCATACCTTGCGTGTGGGGCCTTTGTTTGGCTGTGAGTGGTGCCCAGGCAGTGTCTCTCAATTATGGGAAATGGTGCAGTTCTGAAATGTGCTCCAGACCTTCACGTGACTCCGTGTGAGCCTTGAGGCGCCTGCGAACGTAGACTGGCCTCAGTGTAGGCTGCAGTGGCATGCTTTGGTTTAGGAATGCTAGCTTTCGAAACTGTATTCAAAATGTCTTTGAGGCCAGGTGCAACGGCTCAAATCTGTCATTCCGGCACTTTGGGAGGCCAAGGCAGGAGGATTGTTTGAGCCCAGGAGTTTTAGACCAGCCTGGGCAATATAGCAAAACCCCTTATCTACAAAAAATACAGAAGTTAGCCAGGTGTTACGGCACATGCCTGTAGTCTCATCTGTTCGGGAGGCTGTGGTGGGAGAATCGCTTGAACCCAGAAGGTCAAGGCTGCTGTGAACCGTGCTCATACCACTGCACTCCAGCCTGGTGACAGAGACCCTGTCTCCGAAAACATAAAATGAAAATTGTTGACAGTGTAGTTGTTTGAATCTGGATGCAGATCAGCTCCACGCCTTGGAATTGGTGGATGGTCTCGTGAGGCCTTCTCCATCTGTCCATCTCCCCTTCTGTCTCTCTTTCTTTGCAATCTGTTTGTAAAAGAACCGGTCGTTTGTCCTGGTGGGTGTCCCCCATGTGGGTTTTGCTGACGGCGTCCCTGCTGCATTTCCCCGTGTCTCCTGTATTTCTGTAGATTGGTGGTAAGGCCTCAGGCCTTGCTCAGAGTCTGTTGCTGCTTTGCTTGTTTGCCTGTTCGGTTTTGCTGGAGCATTTCAATGGTGAGGAGGCACATGGGGACATGTATTTGTCTCTTTGCGATGTTCATAGCTGTTGATGTTCGCCTAGCCTGCTGCTTTGTTAAGGTTGGATAATGCCTTTTAAGGTAAAAGAATCTTGCCCCAAAAAATCCGTTAGTTCTGGGCCGGGCATGGTGGCTCACACTTGTAATCCCAGCACTTTGGATCACCTGAGGTCAGGAGTTCAAGACCAGCCTGACCAACATGGAGAAACCGTCTCTACTGAAAAATACAAAAAATTAGCCAGGCATGGTGGCACATGCCTGTAATCCCAGCTACTTGAGAGGCTGAGGCAGGAGAATCACTTGAACCCGGGAGGCGGAGGTTGCAACGAGCCCAGATCATTCCACTGCACTCCAATCTGGTGACAGAGGGAGACTCTGTCTCAAAAAAAAAAAAAAAAAAAAAAAAAATCAGTCTGGAATTATAAGTGAGAACGCCAACACTTTGGCCAACACAGGATAGTCTCTGGTGTTATGAAACGAAAACACACTATTGTCAGTGCATTTATCGTGGGTGAAGCTTGGTGAGGAAAGCATCGTCACCGCCGTTCTTACTGCAGGGAACTGGATGAATTGAAGCAGCCTGGTTTTAAGTATCAGTGTACTCAGTAATGACAGATTCTTCCTTACTTAGCACTGGGGAGTGTAAAGGTGACCTGGCTTCATTTTTAAACCTCTTCATTGGCTGAATCATGACATTCTGTCAGTGTCGGGCAGCTGCTAGCGATCTGAGGCTTCCTGCTTCCTCGGGCAGAGCACACACAGCACTGTCCCCGAGGGCTCTGACCTGGAGGGCTGGGCTGGGGCTGCCTGCAGGGGGCGACCCGGTGCTTTGTAGCCTCCACGGCACAGTTGGCCCAGGTGGACACCACTGCCGCCCTTCCCACTTGAGATCCTGTTCTCAGCTCGTACCCACAGGCTTCAGCCTGTCCCCTCCACGGGAGAGATTTCCAGTCATCCTGTCCCCGGCTGCCTCCACGGGCTGCACCCGCCAAAGTTCACTCCCCCACAGACCACTCTCCCTCCCACCTCCACCACACAGACACACACACATGCACGTGCGCGCGCACAAACACACACACACACACACCCCTTGTTTTCAGGTTCCCAGTACACGCACACACACTCAAACGCTATCATCTTTAGGTGCCCCCTTTCTGTCTCGAAAGCTAGAAGGCTTTTCAGTCTTTCCTTTTAGCAGCCTTTCATTTCTGGTTTCATCTAAGAACATTCAAAAGCCCCAAATAGTTAATGAGAATGCCCTCCTTCTGTGGATTCTAATAATTTCAGTTGTCATTGATTCTGTGTGTGAGTCATGATTGCCCATTAACTTAATGATCACTGAAATCAACGAGAAGGCCTCTCCAGCACAGGGGTGGAGTTGACGCCCACAGGGAGGTCATGCTTATCACTGACAGCAGCTGATATTCCCTGGACAGCAGACTTCTGTCAACAGTCACATGGCAGGGAGGGTTCGGCTGTAGGGGAGGGGTGGACAGAGATGAGACCATCCCATCAGCACTCATCCAGCCGGCATCTAGGGGGTGGCTAGTGCCAGGCCTTCGAGACACAAACAGGAATGAGACCCACGCAGGGGTGGAGTCCAGGGAGCACATGATGCCTGGGGCTAGGACAAGGGGAGAGGCCAGGCTTCCTGGGACGCGTCAGGGGAGGCTTCTAGGAGGGAAGCATTGGAACCAAGCTCTGAGGCATGAGCTTCAGCAGAAGCACAAGGCCCAGGCACTGTGGTATCCTGGGGGGACTTAAGAGCTGGGGTTGGGCAGCAGCCAGAGAGGCAAGACGAGCCCCCACTCAGGCTGCTGCCTGAGTTCTGGCTGGGCTGCGAGGGGAGTGGCGCCCCCAGCCCGCGGCCCCTCCTGTCTTTTGTACCTGCCTGCCCTTCGCACCCTCATGGTGCTTCCTGTGTGGGACCTCCCAGGAGGCAGAGGGATTGCGGGGTCTCGGGAAATGGAGAAAGGGAGGCACAGAAGAATGACAGCTGCTCTCCAGGGCCCACAGCAGATTAGAAACCCCGTTCCCAGCCTCCACATCAGTGCACTTTCCCAGTAGCAAACCCCGTGGCCTTCTGCGCCCTGTTATTTTAACATCCTGAGCAGACTACAAAAGCGTTGCGAGGGGTGGTGGGGACCACAAGTCACCTGCGTCCAGCCTCTATGGATGCGTTCCTTTTGTTTTGGTTTTGTTTGAGAGGGAGTCTCACTCTGTCACCCAGGCTGGAGTACAGTAGTGCGACATCAGCCCACTGCAACCTCTGCCGCCTGGGTTCAAGAGATTCTCCTGCCTCAGCCTCCAGAGTAGCTGGGATTACAGGCATGTACCATCACGCCTGGCTAATTTTTGTAGTTTTTAGTAGAGACGGGGTTTCCACATCTTGGCTAGGTTGGTCTTGAACTCCTGACTCGTGATCCACCTGCCTTGGCGTCCCAAAGTGCTGGGATTACAGGCGTGAGCCATTGCGCTCGGCCAATAGCGCTCCTTCTGCTAGACAAGCGACCACGTTTCACCCAGACCGATCCCAGTCAGGAGTTCTGGGAGTGCAGCTGCGGGAAGCAGCCTGCATAATTATCAGTGCTGCTCCATGGGCCATAGCTGGGAGCAGGGAATGGCTGTGTGTTCTGGGCCTCCTGGCCTCGCAGCCTCCTGAACCAGCAGGGAACACAGATCAAGCATCTGTGTCAGGGACGAGCAGTGCAGATGGAAATGCCCCCTGCCTAGTCCATCAGCCACAGGCACACAGGGCAGCAGAGCGCTTGAAAAACAGATGGTGCCACAAAGGAACTGGATGTTTCATTGTATTTATTTTCATTTATGTATTTATTTCATTTTTTGAGATTGAGTCTTGCTCTGTCACCAGGCTGGAGTGCAGTGGCGTGATCTCGGTTCATGGCAACCTCCGCCTCCCGGGTTCAAGCGATTCTCATGCCTCAGCCTCCCAAGTAGCTGGGATTACAGGTGGCCTACCACCATGCCCATTTTTGTATTGTTAGT